TTCAAAAGTTTAAAAACCAAAAATTGCAAACTGTAAAACTGAACATTTTAAAAATTAAAAGTCTGGAAACTAAAAAACGAATAGGTAAAATCTCCGAAAATACAAAAATTGAAAATCCTAAAAATTAAGTTCGAGAATTGATAAATCGGATAACTGAAAAACCGAAAACTGAACAAATGAAAAACTGATAATCAACACTTGAAAAATTCCTAATCGAATGATTGAAAAATAAAAAAATTAAAATTGAGACATTAAAAAATTGGATAATGGAAATTTCATTACTGAAGTTTTTGAATTTTCAACTTTCGAATTTTTCGATTTTCCGTTTCTTCAATTTTTCGATTATTCAATATTTCGATTTTTTAGTTTCCCGATTTTTCAGTTAAAATCTATCTGCAATTTTCAAATGTTCAGTTTTTAATTTTTTCAATTATTTTTCGATTCTGCAATTTTTCGACTTGTCAATTTCTCGTTTCTAATTTTTCGATTTTTCATTATTTCTTCAGTTTCTCGACTTTTCTAGATTTGTAATTTTTCGATTGTTTAATTTTCTATTTTTAAATTTTTAGATGTTTTACCTTTTACATTTTTCAACTCTTCATTTCTTCAATGATTCGATTTACAATTTGTCCAATTTTCTGTTTTTCATTTTTTGGTTTTTTCAATGTTTCGATTTTCAGTTTCTCGATTTTTGAACTTTTGCATTTTTCAAATTTCTAATTTTGGAGAATTTTTTATTTTACAATACAATTTTTCGACTTTTGAATTTTAGAGATTTTAATTATTTGTTTCTTCAATTTTTTGATTTTTCATTTTTAGATTTGCAATTTTGCGAGTGTTCAATTTTAACGTTTTCAGTTCTTCTAAACTTTTGAATCTCTCAATTTTTCATTTTTTCAATTTTCCGATTTTTCTCGTATTTAATTTTTACATTTTTTAATCATTCGATTTTCAGCTTTGGAAGTGTTTAATTCAAAATTTTTCAATTTTTCTATTTTTCGATTCCTTAATTTTTAATTTTTCGTTTTTCCACGTTTTTAATTTTTAGTTTTTTCAGTCTTTGGATTTTTCGATTTATCAATTTTACAAAGCAGTTTTTCAATGTTTTGTTTCTTTAATTCAAAGATTTTACAATTTTTTTGATTTTTTTTCTTGCGTTTTTCGATTTTAGAGGTTTTGAATTTTTTAATTTTTCCATTTTTCTGTCATTCGATTTTCAATTTTTCAAGTGTTCAATTTAAACTTTTTAAATATTTCGATTTTTGTTTCCAATTTCCAGATTTTTTATTTTTAGTTTTTCGGTTTCCCAATTTTAAAGTTTCGAAATTTTAAAACCTATAATTTTTTTATTTATCAATTTTACAACGCAATTTTTCGATTTTTCAGTTACTCGCTTTTTCTATTTTTCAAGTTCTCGATTTTAAAATTTTTGAATATTTAAAATTTCTGAATTATCGATTTTTATCTCTTTGGATGTTTCAATTTTTCGATTTATCAATTTGGCAATCAATTTTTCAGTTTTCAGTGTTCAGTTTTAAACTTTTCAGTTTCGCATTTTTAAAGTTCCGAATTTTTTAACTTTTTGTTTTAATTTTAATATTTTACGATGCAATTTTTAGATTTTTCGATGGTTTTATTTTTCCATTTTCCAGTTTTTGAAATTTACAGTTTTTCGTTTCCTCCATTATTTTTTATTTCTCCATTTTTCAATCATTCGATTTACAATTTTTCAAATGTTCAATTTTAACTGTTCCAATTTTTCCATCGTACAATTTTTGAATTTTTCAATGTTTCGATTTTTCAGTCACTCGAATGTTTCAAATTTTGAATTTTTCGGTTTTTCCTTCTTAGAATTTTCCAATTTTTTTATTTAACCATTATACTACACAATTTTTCGATGTTTAAGTTTCTAGATTTTTTATTTTGAGATTTGTATTTTTTGATTTTTAAACTTTTGAATTTTTGATATTTTATTATTTCGTTTCTATAATTTTTCGATTTTTCTAAACCTTTTTTTTAATTTTTGACTTTTCAGTTACTCGAAATTTAAAGTTACAAATTTTCCAAATTTTAAATTTTTAGATTTTTCAATATTCGGATTTTTGAATTCTTTGATTATAAATTGTACGATTCACTTTTTCGACTTTTCAATTTTAGAGATTTTAGTTAGGTATTCGTTTGTTTAAATTTTCGATTTTTAATTTTTAGAATTTTAATTTTTCAAGTGTTCAGTTTTAAAGTTTCGAATTTTTCAATTTTTCAATGCTCTAATTTTATGACTTCACGATGCAATTTTTAGACTTTTCAATGTTTTTATTGTTCAATTTTTTTGATATATTAATTTTTTATTTCTTCCATTTTTCGATTTTCCAACTTTTGAATTTTTCAGTTTTTCGATTCTACCACTATTCGATTTTTAATTTCTCGTTTTTAATTTTTTAATCATTCGATTTACAATTTTTCAAGTGTTCAATTTAAATTTTTTCAATTTTTCCATACAACTTTTGAATTTTACGATTTTTTCCATTTTTCAGTTACTTTGAATTTTTAAAATTTCCGAATTTTCATTAAACTTACGAATTTTTAAAATCTGATTTTTCGATTTTTGTATCTTTGGATGTTTCAATTTTCCAACACAAATTTTCGATTTTTCATTTTCTAGATTTTTTATTTTTCGAGTGTTAAACTTTTCCGTTTCTGATTTTTAAAGTTTTCGTTGTTTTAATTTTACGATTTTACGATGAAATTTTTAGACTTTTCAATGTGTTTATATTTTAATTTTCCAGCTTTTCAATTTTAGAGGTTTAATTATTTTTCTGCAATTTTTTATTTTGGAGTTTCTCGACTTTTAATTTTGAGATTTGCAGTTTTTCCAGTGTTCAGTTTTAAAGACTTTAGTTTGTAATTTTTAAAGTTTTGGATTTTTCAATTTTTCGTTGCTTTAATTTTACGATGCAATTAATTTTTAGACTTTTCAATGCGTTTATTTTTCAATTTTCCTGCTTTTAAAATTTCCGAATTTTCATTAAACTTACGAATTGTTAAAATCTTTGATTTTTCGATTGTTCAATTTTCCAACGCTAATTTTCGATTTTTCATTTTTCGAGTGTTAAACTTTTCCGTTTCTGATTTTTAAAGTTTTCGCTGTTTTAATTTTACGATTTTACGATGCACTTTTTAGACTTTTCAATGCGTTTATATTTCAATTTCCAGCTTTTAAAATTTCCAGTTTTTCGATTCCTCCATTATTTTTAAGTTTTAATAATAATAATAATAATAATGTTTATTAACGGATATATACCTTTACATAGAATTATAAATATACAATTACCTTTACATAGATTTATAAACTTACAATTACTTATAAATAAGCAAATATTAAAAAGAAGAGAAAGCAACAAAAACAAAAAACTAACATTCTAAAATACGCTTTAAAGATGCCTTAAAAGAGTTTGCAGACCTAGATTTGAAAAAGTTTTAGTTTTCAGTTTTTCAATTTTTCGTTTTTTTAAATTTTACGATTTTTCACGATTTTTCTGTTTCTCGATTTTTTAACTTAGGAATGTTTCAAGTTTTAAATTTTTCGATTTTTAAGTTTCTAGACTTAATTTTCAGATTTGCAATTTTTCGAGTGTCTAATTTTGAAGTTTTTGATTTTTAAACTTTTGAATTTTTCAATTTTTCGATTCTTTAATTTTACAATTTTTATATTTCATTTTACAATGCAATTTTTTCGATTTTCCGAATTTTAAATTTTTCAATTTTTCATTTTAATTAATCCATGTGTAATTTTTCGGTTACTTCGATTTTTCTATTTTTAAGCTTTTGAGTTTTTCTAATTTTCAATGTTTCGACGTTCAATTTTTCGTTTTTTCACTTTTTCGACTTTACATATTCTTTAGATTTGCAGTTTTTCGAGTGTTCAGTTTTAAAGATTTTAGTTTGTAATTTTTAAAGCTTTGAATTTTTCACTTTTTCGTTGCTTTAATTTTACGATTTTACGATGCAATTAATTTTTAGACTTTTCAATGCGTTTATTTTTCAATTTTCCAGCTTTTAAAATTTGTTTCGTTTATTCCATTAATTTTAATTTCTGGTTTTTAATTTTGCCATTTTTCAAACAAAAATGTTTCGATTTTCTAGCTTTTGAATTTTTCAGTTTTTCGTTGCTTCCGTTATTCCATATTTAATTTCCTGTTTTTAATGTTTCCATTTTTTCAATTTTTCTATTTTTCACGATTTTACAGTTTCTCGATTTTTAAACTTGCGAATTTTTCAATTTTACGATGCAAAGTTTAATCTTCCCGATTTTTAGATATTTTAATTTTAAAAGATTACAACTCCATCTGTTCGGTAGACGGCGTATAGTAATGAGGAAAAATGCCAGCAAATCGAGATGTTGAAGACAAGATCTTTCACAAGACCAGAAAGATTGGAAGAAATAAATTAAGAGTAAAAAAATATTTCTCCGACACAGAAGACATGAGGCAATATGAAGAAAAAGCAGACAAAAATAACGTTCTGAGTATAACATAATCGGAAAGATGTGAATACCCATCGCGGTGTGCTATTACGCACCTGTTCCATCTCCCCAAACCAATAAAGTGTACAAAGGCCCATTTCGCGATTTCCTTTGTACATTTCGATATGTGCAGTTCGCGGCTCCTCGATTCGAATACGGTGCAGGTGTAACAGGTCTATAATGAATCTTTTATGTGCGATAATGGGAAACATTTCAAACCGTATTTCAAATTAACGTTAATAATGGGACATTTGTTAGAAAATGAGGAGACAATTTTCTCTATTGAAACGTATACAACTGTCCGCGTTAGTTTCGGTTTATTATAGATTTGTTAAAGTGGCATAAAAATAATGATAATGATTGTAATCGCACAATTACGTCGACTAAAATGGCAGGAGAATGGACTTTTCACACGTGATGAGAGAACGGCGAACTTGTTTGCTACTGTTACGAGAATTATCCCATCAAAGATACTCACTCGTGGAGGGCCAACTTCTTGTTGAGTCTCCGCGGTCGGACCGACTCCATCTGCCCCCTCACCACTTTAGCGACGCCGCTCGGGGTCTCCTTGAGCCCGAAACTCGTCACGTAGTGCCCCAGATTGAGGTTCTTGAAGCTGAAAATGTCCCGCATTTTCCCTGGGTAGGTGTTGTAGAACCTCGACCACGACGAGTACGCTACAAAAAAATAAAATACGTCAGTCATAGTTGGAAAAATCGAACGACCATCAATAACCCGTCGACGCCCACCCCCTCCCGCCCATAAAACGATACATTTAAGTCATACAAAACTGAGTTTAGATGCACAATAAGAACGAAAGAGGCTGTGGATGTGTTATAGAACCGGAACCGGCTGACCGTGACTGACGAGCGTCCATTTTACGTTGATCCGTTGACAAGTAAAAGTGCGTTTCTGTGTACGCACCACCGCCTCACCACCACGCCACCACGGTAATCAGTCAAACGGACGTCCATTTGATAAAATGCGGACACTAATCAGTGGCGGAAATGATAGATTATCGAGACAATTAAAATCGTGTATTAATCATGGGGTTATGTAAGGGTTAGGGTTAAGTGGTGAGAATGAAAGCGTTTTCTCTCAAAACTAAGTGTGTCATTATCAATTTGTACTAGTTTTTCTTTTTTTTTTTAAATGCAATAAAAAAGTAAAAAAATGGATTTAATTTTTTTGACACTTGATGACGTCATTTTAAAATTTTGCGAAGTTCTAATTTAATCAAAACGTGTATAAAAAGAAAAAATATCACCTAAAACACACAGTATATGTGCTTCTTTACCTCTACGTCAACAACAAAATCGGTATATTATTAAAAAGTAAAATGTTTGTCAGTTAAGAATGCGAAAAGATAAAAAGAATTCAAAAGGAAAGTGTTAAACGAAAACGAATACTGAAAGAAAAATTAGTTAAAGAAATACACAGGAAAGTAATATAAAATTAAAAAAAAAATTGCACAAAAGAGTACTTTTTATTTCTTATACTAAAAATTTAATGAAAGCCGATGCTCAAACATATTTTTACAAGAATTAATTAAGTAATATTAATGCAATTTTTATTTTTTCGATGATTTTATTTTTCAATTTTCTAGCTTTTGAAATTTTCAGTTTTTCGTTTCCTCCATTAATTTTTATTTCTCGTTTTTAATTTGTCCATTTTTCAATCATTGGATACACATTTTTTCAAAAGTTCAATTTTAACTGTTCGAATTTTTCCATATCACAATTTTTTAATTTCTCGATTTTTTACTTTGGAATTTTTCAAATGTTCAATGTCAACTGTTCCTATTTTTCCATATTACAGTTTTTGAATTTTTCGATTTTTCATTCCTAGAATTTTTCAATTTTTTGATTTATAAATTATCTTACGTAATTTTTCGATGTTTAAGTGTCTAGATTTATAATTTTCAGATTTACATTTTTTCGAATGTCCAGTTTTCAGTTTTTGATTTTTAAACTTTCGAATTTTTCAATTTTGAAACTTTTTCAGGTGCACAAAGCAATTTTTCGACTTTTCGATTATTTTATTTTTAAATTTTTTAATATTTTATTCTTTCAATTCTTTTTTCATTTCTCCAATTTTTCGATTTTTCTATTTTTTTAAACCTTTGGGTTTTTCGAATTTTCGATGTCGCGATTTTTAAATTTTCGTTTTTTTAAATTTCCTGACTTTTCCATTTTAGAAATTTCAATTAGGTATTCGTTTCTCCAATTTTTGGATTTTTAGTTTTTGATTTTTAAAGTTTCGAATTTTTCTATTTTCCGTTGCTCTAATTTTAAAGTTTTAAGATGCAATTTTTGGACTCTCCGATGTTTTTATTTTTTTTTTTTTTGATATTTTAATCTTTTATTTCTATCATTATTCGATTTTTAATTTTTCGTTTTTAATTTTTTAATCATTGAATTTACAATTTTTCAAGTGATCAATTTAAATTTTTCAATTTTTTTACTTTGGAATGTTTCAAATTTTGAATTTTTCATTCTTAGAATTATCCTGTTATAAAGGCGAAACAATTCCTGTTTTTCAAAAAAGATAAATAAAATGTTCCACCTTAATTTTTTTCAAAATAGGTATTTATGGATTTTAATTAAGTACTTTTAATTTTTTTTTATTTTTCAGCTTCCGAATTTTGCAATTCATCATTTACTCGATTATTAGTTTCTCGTTTTTAATCTTGCCATTTTTCAATCATTCGATTTGAAATTTTCAAGTGTTCCATTTTCACTTATTAAATTTTTGGAATTTTCAACTTTTGAATTCTTTAATTTTCCATTTTTTTTAGTTTTTCGAATTTTCAAATTTTCAATTTTACAATTTTTCATTTACTGAATTTTTTGAATTGGAATTTTCAAATTTCTCAGTTACTCGATTTTTCTATTTTTTCAAGTTTTTAATTTTTTAATTTCTCGATTTTCTACTTAGGAATTTTTCAAATGTTCAATTTCAACTGTTCCTATATTTCCATATTACAGCTTTTTCATTCTTCGAATTTTTCAATTTTTCGATGTTTAAGTTTTTAGATTTTTAATTTTCAGATTTACATTTTTTCGAATGTCCAGTTTTCAGTTTTTAATTTTTAAACTTTTGAACTTTTCAATTTTGAAATTTTTTCAGGTGCACAAAGCAATTTTTCGACTTTTCGATTATTTTATTCGTTTTTAATTTTTTTAATCATTGGATTTACAATTTTTCAAGTGATCAATTTAAAAAATGTTTCAATTTTTTTTTACTTAAGAATGTTTCAAGTTTTGAATTTTTCATTCTTAGAATTATCCCGTTATAAAGGCGAAACAATTCAAGTTTTTCAAAAAAGAAAAATAAAATGTTCCACCTTAATTTTTTTCAAAATAGGTATTTATGGATTTTAATTAAGTACTTTTAATTTTTTTTTTTATTTTTCAGCTTCTGAATTTTGCAATTCTTCTTCATTTACTCGATTATTAATTTCTCGTTCTTAATCTTTCTATTTTTCATTCATTCGATTTGAAATTCTCAAGTGTTCCATTTTCAGTTATTAAATTTTTCGAATTTTCAACTTTTGAATTCTTTAATTTTCCATTTTTTTTTAGTTTTTCGAATTTTCAAATTTTCAATTTTACAATTTTTCATTTACTGAATTTTTTGAATTGGAATTTTCAGACTTCTCAGTTTCTCGATTTTTGATTTTTCGCGTTTTCGAATTTTCAGGTTCGTAATTTTCAATTCATCAATATTTCAGTTTTCGATTTCTAATTTTTCGATTTGACGATATTTTGATTTGCAATATTTCAAGTGTTCTATTTTCGATCATTAATTTTTTCGAATTTTCGACTTACGAATTTTTCAATTTTTTATTTCTCGTTTTTAATCTTTTCATTTTTCAATCACGCGCTTTGCGATTTTTCAAGTGTTCTATTTTAAATTTTTCGAATTTTCACATCATCAATTTTCTAATTTTTCATTTACTGAATTTTTTGAATTGGAATTTTCAGGCTTCTCAGTTCCTCGATTTTGGATTTTTCGCGTTTTCGATTTTTCAGGTTCTTGATTTCTAATTTTTCGATTTGTCGATATTTTGATTTGCAATATTTTTCGAATTTTCAATTTTTGAATTTTTCGCCTTTTCATTTTTTTCTTTTTCAAATCACACTCTCAAAAAAAAATATACTCGTATTCGCTCAATTTTAAATTTTTCAGCTTTTGAATTTTTTAATTTTTCGTTTGTTCAGTTATTCGATTTTAATCTTTCCACTTTTCAATCATTTAATTTTCAATTTTTCAAAAATTCCATTTTCAATCATTAAATTTTTCGAAATTTTCGACTTTTCGGTTTCTCAATTTTTAGTTCTTCAATATTTTAGTTTCCCGATTTCTAATTTTTGGATTTGTCGGTATTTCGCTTGTAATATTTTTCAAGTTTTCTATTTTCAACTTGAAATTTTTTTGGATTTTCAACATTTGAATTTTTAAATTTTCATTTCATTGAAAACGTTTTAAAATCGAATACGTAATTGGATTTTTTTTTTAATTATTATCATTATTACATATTTAAAATAAAAACTACAAAAGTTACCAAATCAAAAATTGAAGAACTGAAAAATTGAAAACCAAAAAATCGCAAATAAAATAATAAAATCACGAGATTGTAAAACGAAAAATTGAAAAAATGAAGAATATAAACGAAATGAAAAGTTGCAAAATCTGAAAATTGAAACATCTAACATTTAGAAAATGTGAAAACTTAAATAGTTGCATATCGTCATAATGAAGAAACAAAAAAAAATAAAAACTGATAAATCGCTAATCGAAAAATTATAATTATAACATTAGAACATTGAAAAACCGAAAAATTGAAAAATCGAAAGACTGAAAAATTAAAAATTGAAAACTCGTGAAACTTGGAATCGAAACATTGCAAAATCGAAAGACATCCAAAAGTTGGAAAAAACTCGAAATTTACATGTCGTAAAATTGAAGAAACGAAAAAAAATGAAAATATAAAAATTTACAAATCGAAAAATTGAAGAAATGGGAAGTTGAAAAAATTGAAATTGAAAGAACAAGAAATTATAAAATTAGGACACTAATCGACAAATTATAAAAATTATCACACCAAAAAACCAAAACGAATAATTGCAAATCGAAAATTTGAAGAAATAATAAACTGACGAACTAAAAAATTGAAAAATTAGAAACGAAAGTTTTTTGATTTCTCAGTTTCTCGACTAAATGCAATTTTTCATTTGTTTAATTTTCTATTTTTAAATTTTTAGATATTTTACCTTTTACATTTTTCAACTCTTCATTTCTTCAATGATTCGATTTGCAATTTTCAAGTGTCCAATTTTCAGTTTTTTATTTTTTGGTTTTTTCAATGTTTCGATTTTCAGTTTCTCGAGTTTTGAACTTTTGCATTTTTCTAATTTTGGAGATTTAGAATTTTGAATTTTTTGATGTATCAATTATTTTACAATGCAATTTTTCGACTTTTTAATTTTAGAGATTTTAATTATTCGTTTCTTCAATTTTGGGATTTTTCATTTTTGGATTTGCAATTTTTCGAGTGTTCAATTTTAACGTTTTCAGTTCTTCTAAACTTTTGAATCTCTCAATTTTTCATTTTTTCAATTTTCCGATTTTTCTCGTATTTAATTTTTATATTTTTTAATCATTCGATTTTCAACTTTTGAAGTGTTTAATTTAAAATTTTGCAATTTTTCGAAATTTCAATTTTTCAATTTTTCTCGATTTCTTAATTTTTAATTTTTCGTTTTTTCACGTTTTAAATTTTTAGTTTTTTCAATCTTAGGATTTTTCGATTTATCAATTTTACAAAGCAATTTTTTAATGTTTTGTTTCTTTAATTCAAAGATTTTACAATTTTTCGATTTTTTTTCTTGCGTTTTTCGATTTTTGAGGTTTTGAATTTTTTAATTTTTCCATTTTTCTATCATTCGATTTTCAATTTTTCAAGTGTTCAATTATAAATTTTTCAATTTTTCGTTTTTTCTGTTTCCAATTTCCAGATTTTTAGTTTTTCGTTTTTTCGGTTTTCCAATTTTAAAGTTTTGAATTTTTAAAACCTATTATTTTTCGATTTATCAATTTTACAACGCAATTTTTCGATTTTTAAATTTTTGAATTTTTAAAATTTCTGAATTTTCGATTTTTGTCTCTTTGGATGTTTCAATTTTTCGATTTATCAATTTGGCAATGCAATTTTTCAGTTTTCAGTGTTCAGTTTTAAACTTTTCAGTTTCGCATTTTTAAAGTTCCGAAAATTTGAAGAAATAATAAACCGACGAACTAAAAAATTGAAAAATTGAAGTCGAATGAACGAAAAAGTTTTTAAAATCGAATGCTTCAATTTTTTTTTTAAATATCATTATAACATATTTAAAATGAAAACTAGAACATTGCAAATCAAAAATTAAGAACCGAAAAATTGAAAATCGCAAATAAAACAATAAATTCGGAACATTGAAAAACTGAAAAATTGCAACAGATGAAAGTTTGAAGAAACAAAAAAAATTAAAAAGCGAAAAATTGCGAAACGGAAAATTGAAAAACAAAAAAAAATTAAATCTAAACAATGAAAAATCGAATTATTGAAAAAATAAAGAAAATAAAAAACCGAAACGAAAAATTGCAAATCGAAAAATGATAAAATCAACTGAAAACCGAAAAATTAAAAAAATAAGGAAGAATAAAGACTAAAATGACAGATTGCAAATCGAAAAAATGAAGACATGAAAATTTGAAAAATCGAAAATTAAAATTCGAAAACTCGTAAAATTGATAATCGAAAAATTGAAAAATTTAAAAATGAAAACTCAAAATTTACATGGCCTAAAATTGAAGAAACGAAAAAAAAATGAAAATAGGAAAATTTGCAGAGCGAAAAATTGAAAAAATGGAAAGTTGAAAAAATTGAAATTGACAAAACAGGAAATTATAAAATTATACATTGAAAAATCGAGAAATTATAAAAATTATGAAAATAAAAAACCAAAATGAATAATTACGAAACGAAAATTTGAAGAAACGAAAAACTGACGAATCAGAAAAGTGAAGTTTTAGTTTCTCGTTTTTAATCTTTACATTTTTCAATCATTCGATTTGCAAATTTTCAAGAATCCCCTTTTCAATTATCAATTTTTTTAAATTTTCAACTGTTGAATTTTTCAATTTTTCATTTCTTCAAGTTTTCAAATTGGAATTTTTCATCTTTTCGGGTCCTTGATTTTTTATTTTTCGTGTTTACGATTTTTAATTTTTCTTTTCCCGATTTGTAATTTTTAGATTTTTCATTCTTTCGACGACCTGAGAACGTGACGTGACCTGATATAACGTGACGTGACGTGACGTGACGTGACGTGACGAGACTTGACATATCGTGACGTGACTTGACACGACGTGACTTGACATGACGTGACATGACATGACGTGATCTAAAAATCGAACAATCTAAAAGTCGAAAAATCAAGAAATCGAAAAATCCAGAAATCAAAAAATTGAAAATTTTGGAAACGCCAAAAATTGAATTGAAAAATCGAGAAATCGAAAGATCTAAAATTTAAAAAACCGAAAAATTGAAAAAATCTAAGATTTAAAAAATTGAGAAGTCAAGATTCCAGAAATGGGAAAAATAAAAAATCGAACAAGATAAGAGTTCAAAAATCAAGAAATAGAAAAATTGAAAAAGTAAAAAACAGAAAATCGAAACGAAATATCGAAAAATAGAAGAATCGAAAAGCAAAAAATTTTAAAAACTGAAAGATTGAAAAATCAAAGTATTAAAACATTGAAAAATCTAAAATTTAAAAATTCTAAAAAATTAGACAAAAGAAAAATCGAGAAATCGAAAAAGCTGAAATTTAAAAAACCGAAAAATTGAAAAATCGACAAATAAAACATTAAAAATCGAAAAATTTAAAATTCAAAACACCGAAACGAAAATTTGAAAAATCAAAATACTGAAAATCCCCAAAATTGAAACATCGAAAAATTGCAAAAACTGAAAAAAAGATAAATCGAGAAATGGGAAAATCAATCAATCGAAATTTACATGGCCTAAAATTGAAGAAACGGAAAATAATGAAAATAGGAAAATTTGCACAGCGAAAAATTGAAAAAATGGAAAGTTGAAAAAATTTAAATTGAAAAAACAAGAAATTATAAAATTAGAACATCGAAAAATCGACGAATTATAAAAATTATGAAAATAAAACCAAAATGAATAATTACGAATCGAAAATTTGAAGAAGTGAAAAACTGACGAATCAAAAATTGAAAAATAAAAGAAAAAAACTGAAGGCCAATATTTAAAATGAAAACTAGAAAAATTAAAAGTTAAAAATTTAAGAAACGAAAAATTGAAAAATCGAGAAGTGAGAGTTTCCCTTTCAATTATCAAATTTTTTTAATTTTCAACTATTGAATTTTTCAATTTTTCACATTGGAATTTTCCGTCTTTTCAGCTCCTCGATTTTTTATTTTTCGCGTTTTTATTTTTTAATTTTTCATTTCCAGATTTGTGATTTTTCAATGTTTCATTCTTTCAAGGAGCTCACATAACGTGACGTGATCTGATATGACCTGACGTGCCCTGACTTAACATTACGTGAGGCGACCTAACATGACGTCACCGGACATGACGTGACAGGCGTGACTTGACATGACGCGACTTGACATCACGTGACCTTACATGACCTGACATGACGCGACCTTACATGACGTGACCTGACATGTAGGGACAGGACCTTTTTCTCTTTGAAATAACCTTTTTTCTTTTTCAAATAATTACTTCAAAAAAATTAAATTCGTACGTTTAACGCTCGGCTCGACACATTTTTACGGGTTCAATTTTAAATTTTTAATTTTTTTTATTTTTCAATTTTGAACTTTCCAATTTTTCCTTTCTTCAATTATCCGATTTTTAGTTTCTCGTTATTAATCTTTACATTTTTCAATCATTCGATTTGCAAATTTTTCAAATTAGAATTTTCCATCTTTTCAGGTCCTCAATTTTTTATTTTTCGCGTTTTCGATTTTTAATTTTTCATTCCCCGATTTGTAATTTTTAGATTTTTCACCCTTTGGACGACCTGCCATAACGTGATGTGACGTGACGTGACGTGACATGTCGTGACGTGACATGTCGTGACGTGACATGTCGTGACGTGACTTTGGTGATTTATCTTCTTTGTCAAATAATAATAATAAAAAAATTAATTCTCGGCTGCGCCTCGAGCGAGAAACTACGTACAGGTGAACCTAAACACCCAGAAGCAATCGAAAAAGCGACATTTGTATTCTACAAGCTACGCAATGTCGAAAAATTCGTCAAAGTGACAATATAATGCGGTAAAAGCTAAGTTTAACAAAAAATTCAATAGATATAATGACCTCGATCAGGTCTTTTTTTGCTTACCGAAACAAGCCAAACGGTGGAGGTCCTTATTTTTGGAGAGGGCGGTTTCATAGTGCCGCTGTAGCGCGGTGGCGGCCTTCTCCTCTTCCGGTTCCTCCATTACAACGCAAAGATGACGTAGGAAGTCAGCAGGATCGTGTTCTTTTAAACTAGAAATTAAAATAATCGGTGACAGAATATGAATAACCTTTCGCTCTTGATTGTTGTAACAATATTGTGTCACGACACGTTTTTACATATTTCGAATTTTTTCTAAATTAAAAATAGCGACGAGGTATTGTTAGTTGCAATTGACGTCTACTTAAGTAAACATGCCGTCATTAGCCCAAGGTAATAGCCCTTCTATAATACTTGCATTTGTAATAGTTTTTTTTTTAGAGTATAATTACCCTTTAACAAGCTCGCCCACACAATTCGTAACAATCTTGGCTCTGTATCTTCTATTTTCTCTTAAATGGGGACCAAATATTATGAAAAATCGAGACGCTTTCAGTTTAAGGACGCTGATGGCAGTATACAATTTGACGCAAGTGGTGCTAAATGCATTACTTTGTGCAAGGGTAATTTATATACACACTTTTAGTTAATTTAGTTGTTGTTTACGTTCAAGACTGTCAAAGTGGTTGCGAATGTTGGCATCGTCTGCAGCCCCCTAAACTCATCCGACAGTGCTACAGACATCGAAATCCGTAACATACACTACTACTACTTCCTTACAAAAATGTTAGACATTTTGGATACTGCAAGTATAATCAAACAAATTTACAAAAAATAACCCCCTTTTTCCAGATTTTTCTTGTTTTGCGAAAGAAAAATAGTCAAGTTTCGTTATTACATATGCACCACCATGTCATCATGATTGTAACTCCGTGGGCTACTTTTACGTACGCACCAGGTGGTGTTCTAATGTGGCTTGTTCTGTTTAACACTGTTGTTCATGTCGTTATGTACTTTTATTACTTTTTAAGTTTATTTGATGCCGCTAAAGCCCCTTGGTGGAAAAAGTACCTAACACAATTACAAATCGTAAGTATCAGTGTTGGAATTTTTGATAAAATTTATTAACTATATACTTGTAGTATCAACAGGTCACTATGTTCGTCGTTTTTTGCATTCAGTTTATTAATTGGGAATGTACGTATCCTAAGATTTTGTTGGTTTATTGCTTGTCGAATACGGGGCTCATGATTTATCTTTTCTGTGCGTTTTACGTAAAAAATTACGTACGTAAAGCAGATTCACGAACAAAGTAGTACCAAGGTTACAGAGTATTGTATGCTTGATTAAATAAATATTATTACACAAGGTATTTGTAGTTTTTTCGCTAAAAATTAATTTCATGCCAGAACTCTTTGTTCTATCCAATTAAATGGAAACTAAAACCATAAGTTGCCACTAAAACCAGTCATTTCCGGTGGAAGCTAGTTAACAGTAATGATATTAAATTTCTGACTTTTGCATTATTAAACGTAGACTGTTATATAAATAAAAACAACAAATATTATTTTCAGGGTGACCTTAGCACTCAACAGACAGACAGACGGAAAGGGAAAACGCATTTTTGGATTGAGTTTAATGAATCCAGATTTTTCGAAAAATTATAAGATTTGATTTTGTAACCCTTATAAGTTTGTTTTAAGTGAGATTTTCCAGTACGAAATACGGACCGACAGACAGACGGAAACGGGAGACCAGTTTTTTTGTACTTTGGGGGTCATGAAACGTCGAGGAAACATGAAAGTGGCAAGTCGCCCGATGGACTCGCTTACGCTCAGGAAGTGGAAAAAAGTAAGTATTTCGAATGTGCAGAAAATTTGGCTACTCTTAAAAAATAAATAATATGTGTAACGCTAAAAAAGTTTCCAAAATGTTCCTCATCTATCATATTTTTGAAAAATTTTCTTCTTTCAACAAATTTATTTTTATGCATCATATTAAATTTGAAAAGTTTCGTTCTGTGGACAGTTCAGCACTAAAATCTGTTAGGTTTAATATTAAATAAAATCAGAAGTCTCATCTTCTAATGAAAAAACTGAAAAATCGAAAAATTTAAAAACCGAAAAATTGAAATATCGAAAAAAGAATAATTTTAAAAACTTACAGATTGAGAATTTAAAATTCAAAAAATCGTAACGCAAAATTGAAAAATCTAGAAAGTTGAAAAATGAAAATCCTGAAAAATCGAAAAATTGCAAAAACTGAAAAAAGAGGAATCGAGAAGTCCAAAAAACGAGAAACGGGAAAATCAAAAATTGAAAATTCGATTGATTGTGAAATCAAAAACACGAAAATTTAGAAACGCCAAAAATTGAAAACTTGAAAAATAGAAAAATCGAGAAGTCAAAAGTCGAGAAATGGGAAAAATAAAAAAATCGAATAATCTAAAAGTCGAAAAATCAAGAAATTGAAAAACTAAATATTTGAATTGAAAAATCTAGAAATCAAAAGATACAAAATTTAAAACAGCAAAAAACCAAAAAAGTAAAAAACTGAAAAATCGATAAATAGAAACATAAAAATCGAAAAATTTAAAATTAAAAAAATCGAAACGAACAATTTAAAAATCAAAATACTGAAAAATCCCAAACCTAAAACATCGAGGAATTGGAAAATCGAGAATTCGAAAAGTCGAAAAATCGTTACGTAGAAAAATCGAAGAACAGAAAATTAAAAAAAAAGTTGAAAAATGAAAATCCTGAAAAATCGAAAAATTGCAAAAACTGAAAAAGAAGAGAAATCGAGAAGTACAAAAATCGAAAAATGACAAAAATTGAAAAATAGGAAAATCGAAGAATAGAAAAATCGAAAAATTGTCAAGTTGAAAATTTAAAAATTGAAAAAAGAAAAACCTGAAAAACCGAAAAATTGAAAAACTGAAAAATCGAACAACCTAAAAGTCGAAAAATCAGGAAATCGAAAAATTGAAAATTTTAGAAACGCCACAAATTGAATTGAAAAATCGAGAAATCGAAAGATCTAAAATTTAAAAAACCGAAAAATAAAATACCAAAAAACTGAATCATCGAGAAATCCAAACAGCAAAAAATTGAAAAAAATCTAAAATTAGTTTTGACAACTGATGAAGTCTCAGCTGAAGTGACAAATAACAATTTCCCATTAGTTCGTGAAGATGCTCACCACCCTTGCTTGGACATCAATTTATTTATCAAAGACCAATCAAGTAATCCATTTCCAAGAACATCGAACACAGTAAAATTTAATTTTCGTAAAGCAGATTTAGTAAGATTGTATAATGCCTTTATTGAAACTGACTGGTCAGAAGTTTTAGACACAGTGGATGTTGAGACAGCATGTTCTACTTTTTATGATATCAATCTTAAATTATTAAATGTTTATGTTCCGAAGTGTTCGTCATCAGCGAAGACATATTACCCTCCCTGGTTCACAAAAACGATTATATCCAGCATTAAAGAAAAACACAGGCTATGGAATCTCTATAGGAAAAGTAAATTGTTAACTTACTTGGATAGAATAAGAATTCTAAAATGCGACATACGACGTAATATTCGGCAAGCTTATAAAGTCTTCATCAGTGAGGCTGAAAATTCACTTCATAATGACCCAAAGAAGTTTTGGTCATTCGTAAATAAAAGGAGGAAAACTACTTGTGTTCCCAGTTGCATGACAGCTGGTGATGGTGTTATAATATCTAATCCGCAAGACATAGTGAACGCATTTGCATCACAATTCGCAAGTGTTTACACCAATGACAACCATAAACCCTGTGTTGCATCAAGTTGTAATAAAATTAACTGTGAATACTGCGGAAGCTGCCGATGCTCTTTAGTAAGTGATAATCCTATTTGTGATAATTCCATCTGTGATAATTCTGTCTGTGATAACAATCTCATATTCAACCTGCCTGTGATTAATGACTGTGATATTTTAAAAGCTGCGAAAAAAATTAAACCAAATTTCGTTTGTGGTCCAGATGATATACCGGCATTTTTAGTGATTGATTGTCTTCAGTATTTGTTAAAACCTTTATGTCATATATACAACTTAATTTTAAAGTCGTCTATTTATCCACAAATGTGGAAAGTCTCTCGTGTATTTCCTGTGTTTAAAGCTGGGGACAAAGCTAACATTGTAAATTACAGACCGATAGCACTTATATCGAACTATGCTAAATTATTTGAATGTATTATGTCAGACTTCCTGTATACCCACTGTATTTCAACAATTGCCTTAGAACAGCATGGATTTATAAAAGGAAGATCCACTCTCACCAATTTATGTGAATTCACCGAATACGTATCCTTGGCTTTAGATAATCGCTTTCAAGTTGATGCCATATACACTGATTTATCCAAAGCTTTTGATAGAGTAGATCATTGCATATTATTAAAAAAACTTGATACATTAGGAATATGTCATCAGCTAGTAATGATTTTTAGAAATCTCCTGTTTGGTAGGGAACAATTTGTTGAAATTCATGGAGTCCAGTCAACATTATTTCCTGTTAACAGCGGAGTTACTCAAGGTTCAAACCTAGGCCCGCTGTTATTTACTGTTTTCTTCAATGATGTCCTAAATGTTATTAGTTGTAGAGCGTTTATATATGCCGATGATTTAAAAATAGCTAAAGTAATAAAAACGAACAGAGATTGTTTAGTTTTACAAGATAATGTAGATAAATTAGCGCTGTGGTGTGAACAGAATAAGTTAAGCCTTAATAAAAAAAAATGTAGAAAAATTACATTCTCCAGGAAAGACACTAATTTTAATTTTTATTACAATATTAATGGAACTTTGCTAGAAAACTGTAATCAAATACGCGATTTAGGCATAATTGTAGACTCTGCATTGTCATTTGTTCCTCATATCATTGATATAACAAATTCAGCTATCAAAACACTTGGCTTCATCTGTAGAAATACTAAAGAATTTAATAATATTTTATGTATTAAACAGCTTTATTATAGTCTAGTTAGGTCAAAATTAGAATACTGTTCTATAATTTGGAGACCTCATCACCAAATTTATATTAATATTATAGAAAACGTTAACAGGAAATTTGCTAAGTATCTGTATTTTAAAATGTTCAACTGTTATCCTGTTAGTCATTGTAACCAAAGAGCTCTTCTTAATATAGTGAATGAAAATTTTCTCGAGTATAGACGAAATATTGCTTGTTTTGTATTTTTGCAGAAATTGGTGCGTGGTGATATATTCTGTCCAGCGTTACTAAATAATATTAACTTTTGTGTTCCTCGTTTATTGTGCAGAAATCCATCCACTTTTTACTATCAAATTCCAAATTCTTATCATCACTTTAATAGCCCCTTAATTACATGTTTTAGACTTTATAATAACTATACTTTAGACGATAGCATTGATATTTTTCACGCTAATTTTAATAAAGCATCTTTCAAAAAAAAGTTATTAGCACGATATGCACAATAATATATGTACATAATATTTGTTCTGATGTTAGATTTATTTTTTTTTTTTAGATTTTTTTTAAATTGTAAGTTTAGTTTAAGCTGAATTTAATGTCTTTTTGTGTATACATGTCCACCATAGACTAACGTCTGTTGGAATGAATAAACGTATTATTATTATTATTATTAAAATTTAAAAAATCGAAAAATTGAAAAAGTAAAAGAAAATCGAAACGAAATACGAAAAATTGAAGAATCGAAAGGCAAAAAATTTTAAAAACTGAGAGATTGAGAAATCAAAACATCAAAACATTGAAAAATCTAAAATTTAAAAATTCGAAAAATTACACAAAAGAAAAATCGAGAAATCGAAAAAACGGAAATTTAAAAAACCGAAAAATTGGAAAATCGACAAATAGAAACATAAGAATCGAAAAATTTAAAATTCAGAACACCGAAACGAAAATTTGAAAAATCAAAATACTGAAAAACCCCAAAATTGAAACATCGAAAAACTGGAAAATCTAGAAATCGAAAATTCGAAAAATCGGAGAGCCGAAAATTTAGAAAGTTGAAAAATCAAAAACCCGAAAAATCGAAAAATAGCAAAAACTGAAAAAAAAGAGAAATCGAAAACTCGAAAATTTAGAAATGCCAAAAATTGAAAAATGGGAAAATCGAAAAATTGAAAAATCGAGAAATCGAAACATCGTCAAGCCGAAAATTTAAAAAATGAAAAATTGAAAACCTGAAAAACCGAAAAATCGATAAGTCAAAGTTCCAGAAATGGGAAAAACCAAAAAATCGAACAATCTAAAAATCGAAAAATCAAGAAATCGAAAGATCTAAAATTTAGAAAAACGAAAAATAAAATACCAAAAAAATTGAAAAATCTAAAATTTAAAAAATCGAAAAATTGAAACAGTAAAAAACCGAAAATCGAAACGAAATGTCGAAAAATTGAAGAATCGAAAAGCAAAAACTTTTAAAACCTGAAAAATCAAAATATTAAAACACTGAAAAATCAAAAATTTAAAAATTTGAAAAACTGGACAAAAGAAAAATCGAGAAATCAAAAACGCTGAAATTTAAAAAATCGAAAAATTGAGAAATCGACAAAAAGAAACAAAAAATCGAAACGAAAAACTGAAAAATCGAAATTCTGAAAAACCCCAAAACTGAAACATCGAAAAATTGGAAAATCTAGAAATTGAAAAGTCGAAAAATCGTCACGTAGGAAAATCGAAGAACCGAAAATTTAGAAACTTGAAAAATCAACAACCTGAAAATTCGAAAAATTGCAAAAACTGAAAAAAAGCGAAATCGGAGAAGTTCAAAAATCGAGAAATGGGAAAATCAAAAATCGAAAAATTGAGAAACAGAAAACTCGACAATCTAGAAATGCCAAAAATCGAAAAATAGACAAATCGAAGAACTGAAAAATCGAGAAAATGAAAAACTGGAAAAATCGAGAAGTCAAAATTCCAGAAATAGGAAAAACCAAAAAATCGAACAATCTAAAAGTCGAAAAATCAAGAAATCGAAAGATCTAGAATTTAGAAAACCGAAAAATAAAATACAAAAAAACTGAAAAATCTAAAATTTAAAAAATTGAAAAAGTAAAAAACAGAAAATCGAAACGAAATACGAAAAATTGAAGAATCGAAAGGCAAAACATTTTAAAAACTGAGAGATGGAGAAATCAAAACATCAAAACATTGAAAAATCTAAAATTTAAAAATTCGAAAAATTAGACAAAAGAAAAATCGAGAAATCGAAAAAACGGAAATTTAAAAAACCGAAAAATTTTAAATTCAGAACACCGAAACGAAAATTTGAAAAATCAAAATACTGAAAAACCCCGAAATTGAAACATCGAAAAATAGGAAAATCTAGAAATCGAAAATTCGAGAAAGGTGAAAAATCAAAAACCTGAAAAATCGAAAAATTGCAAAAACTGAAAAAAAGATAAATCGAGAAATGGGAAAATAAAAAATCGAAAAATCAATTAATTGAGAAATCGAAAACTCGAAAATTTAGAAATGCCAAAAATTGAAAAATAAGCAAATCGAGAAATTAAAAAATCGTCAAGTCGAAAATTTCAAAATTTCAAAATCAAACACCTGAAAAACCGAAAAATTGAAAAACTGTAAAATCGATAAGTCAAAATTCCAGAAATAGGAAAAACCAAAAAATCGACCGATCTAAAATTCGAAAAATCAAGAAATCGAAAAATCTAAGATTTAAAAAACCGAAAAATAAAATACCAAAAAATTGAAAAAAATCTAAAATTTAAAAAATCGAGAAATTAGACAAAAGAAAAATCGAGAAATCGAAAAAGCTAAAATTTAAAAAACTGAAAAATGGAAAAATTGATGAATAGAAACATAAAAAACCGAAAAATTTAAAATTCGAAAAACCGAAACGAAAATTTGAAAAATCAAAATCCTGAAAAATCGAAAAATTGCAAAAACTGAAAAAGAAAAATCGATAAATACAAAAATCAAGAAATCGGAAATTAAAAAATTTAGAAATGCCAAAAATTGAAAAATAGGAAAATCGAAGAATTGAAAAATCGAAAAGTTATCAAGTCGAAAATTGAAAAATTAAAAACCTGAAAAACCGAAAAATTGAAACATCGAGAAGTCAAAATTCCAGAAATGGGAAAAACCAAAATATCGAAGAATCTAAAAGTCGAAAAATCAAGAATCCGAAAGATCTAAAATTTAGAAAATCGAAAGGCAAAAAATTTTAAAAACTGAAAAATTGATAAATCAAAATATTAAAACATTAAAAAATCTAAAATTTAAAAATTCGAAAAATTAGACAAAAGAAAAATCCAGAAATCAAAAAAGCTGAAATTTAAAAAATCGAAAAATCGACAAATAGAAACAAAAAATCGAAACGAAAAATTGAAAAATCGAAATTCTGAAAAATCCCAAAATTGAAACATCGAAAAATTGGAAAATCTCAAAATCGAAAAATCGTCAAGCCGAAAATTTAAAAAAGGAAAAATCAAAAACCTGAAAAACTGAAAAATCGATAAGTCAAAATTACAGAAATGGGGAAAACCAAAAAATCGAACAATCTAAAAGTCGAAAAATCAAGAAATCGAAAAATCTAAAATTTAGAAAACCGAAAAATTGAAAAAGTAAAAAAACCGAAAATCGAAACGAAATATCGAAAAATTGAAGAATCGAAAGGCAAAAAATTTTAAAAATTGAAAGATTGAAAAATCAAAATATTAAAACATTGAAAAATTTTAAATTTAAAAATTCGAAAAATTAGACAAAAGAAAAATCGGAAAATCAAAAACGCTGAAATTTAAAAAATCGAAAAATTGAGAAATCGACAAAAAGAAACAAAAAATCGAAACGAAAAACTCAAAAATCGAAAAATTGGAAAATCTCGAAATGGAAAAGTCAAAATCGTCAAGTAAAAAAATCAAAGAACCGAAAATTTAGAAACTTGAAAAATCAAAAACCTGAAAATTCTAAAAATTGCAAAAACTGAAAAAAAGAGGAAGTTCAAAAATTGAGAAACCGAAAACTCGACAATTTAGAAATGCCAAAAATCGAAAAACCGAAAAATCGAAGAAGTGAAAAATCGAGAAACTGAAAAACTGAAAAATCGAGAAGTCAAAATTCCAGATATGAGAAAAATAAAAAAATCGGACAATCTAAAAAATCAAGAAAAAACGCCAAAACTTGAAATGAAAAATCGAGAAATCTAAAGATCTAAAATTTAATTAAAAACGGAAAAATAAAATACAAAAAAGAAATCGAAACACCAAAAAATCGAAAAATCTAAAATTTAAAAATTCGAAAAATCAAAAAGAAAAATCGAAAAAGCTAAAATTTAAGACCGGAAAAATTTTAAATTAAAAAAATCGAAACCAAACGGGAAAATCAAAAATCGCAAAATCCATTAAATGAGAAATCGAAAACCTCTGAATTTAAAAATGCCAAAAATTAGAAACTTGAAAAATAAAAAATCTAAAATTCGAAAACGCCAAAAATTGAATTGAAAAATCGACCAATCGAAAGATCTAGAATTTAAAAAAAACGAAAAATAAAATACCAACAATTTAAAAAAATCGAAAAATTGAAGAATCGAAAAACTGGACAATCGAGAAGTCGAAAAGTCGAAAAATCGTCAACTTGAAAAATCGAAAATTAAAGATTAAAAACCTGAAAAATTGAAGAACTGACAAACGGAAAAATCGGTAAGTGGAAAATGGAAAAGTCGGAAAATCAAAAATTCAAAAAATCTAAAAGACGAAAAATCGAGAATTTTGAAATGCCAAAAATTGTAAAAGCGTAAAACTGAAATATCGAAAAACTGAGAAGCTGAAAAAATGTTAAATCAAAAATCTGAAAAATCGCATAAACGGGCAAATTTTAATTAACGATTTACCATGCTTTCAACAACCTTAAAAATTTTGCAAGATTTCTTTTCAAACTTAAACTGCAAAATGTTGCAATACAATTTTGAATTTTTTTTCAAAAATCTGAATGGTAAAAGTTCAACGCGAATTCATTATTTTATAAAATTTAATTTATTAATGTATATTTTGGGGAAGACGTCATCCTATTTTTGGTAGGGATGATTAGCCAAATTTGACAACAATTGGTCCAGAGATTATCTTTTTAATAAAAATCTGGACAGACGGAAATGATAGACCAATTTTTTCGTACTCTAGGGGTCATGAAACGTCAAGAAAATCCTAAATCGATTACAATACTTCCGTCGCTTAAACTCACGAAGTAAAAATACTTACAACACTTTGTGATTTTGCAACTTTTCGATGTATTCTTGCTCTTCGTGAGTGAGGAAGATCAAAGCCGACCCCGATTTGCCCGCTCTTCCAGTCCTGCCGACTCTGTGAAGGTAATCTTCGTCTGTTTGGGGTCCAGTGTACTGGATTATGCAGTCGGCTTCTGGAACGTCGACTCCGCGGGCAGCAACGTCCTGTAAAAGTGTGTGTGTGTGTTTTTTAATTTTCGTGGTTTGAACGAACAGAGGTAGATCAGAGTAGTATGTATAGGTTACATTTTTTAATGATAACAATAATAATAATTATAATAATAATAATATAATTTTATTTTTATAGGTACACTTCTCGTGTCCGAGTCGAGGCATGACTGTTGTTTCCTCATCGAATTAGATTCTTTTATTGCCGCTACCGGCCGTCGACAACAATGCTTCACTCGAGCCCGTCGCCCGCAGAGCCAAGAATGTGTACGTTTTGTGGGCATCTGAAAAAATGTTAAGTGCGTTCTTTTACTCCCGAATGATATACATTTCGTTGAACAATTTGTGTCTGGAATTAAATTCGGCCGTTGAATGGATAAACGAGTGTGATTGTAAACCGGCAGGAGATCTAGCCGTCTTTTAACAGCACGCCACTTAAGAAATCCAATAACATTAATCGGCACAGATAATTAACTATCCGATACGAATAATGGCGAGTGATTTGGTTCGGCCACAAAAGATATTAGTTCATTTTGGACGAAAATGTCGTCTCATCGGCCGCCTCGAGGAGCATTCCGGGTTAAAAATGCAGCTATTTAGTGTCTGAGCAAAAATTAAAAGATGCCACTTTGTGCATCCGACAGTAGCGGACAATGGTATTCATAATAAATTACCTAACGCCTCGATAGTATTGGGTGTCAGCCCAGCGGGAGCCAACGTTCGATGGGTGCTATTACATTTTTCTACACCAATAAATTACATCAATTCCGGGCATTGTAGCTGGTGGTTATCAAATCTACCATATTCGACTTGATGTAGGTTTTTTTCAAGACGAAAGTATGGTAATCACAATACTTTATATAAATAACTCTATCAAAAGTTATCAAGGTGTCATTCAAATTCGATCATGGGAATTGATGGAAAATGTTCATGCGTTTTATTCTTTTGTGTGGATGGATGGGTTTACCAACTGTTGGGAGCGATTGTACAGTTCTTGTGCTCTGGGTGAAACGTTAGATGACCTCAGCGAGTTCTGAACGAATTGTTGTAGGCAATACATATATTAAATTTGTCGTTAAACTTAGCTTTTACGTCATCAGATCAGGTCAAGTCAGCTCTATCATTGCTTAATTGATTGCTGGAAAACCAGGTTGTAATGCAAGCAAGAATTTCTGGATTTTCTGCTTAAACGGACCACAAAAAGCAACAGTTATCAGCGACATAATTAGAGTTATTTCAGCATATACAGGCTGATGAAAAAATTACGTATAAGTTCGATGGTACGTTGTTAAGAAGTCTGCGAAGAACACGAAAAAAATGGTTAAAAAAATTCCTGCATCGAACTTTTGAAAATATTAAACTTAAAAGTTGAAGAATTAATTTCGTAATTTCTGTCTTTTTTATTGTTAAAAAATGCTATTTTTGTCAATTTTTATCGAAATTTTAGACTATCAATTAAATTCACATTAAAACATATCAAAATTCAAAGTTAATTCTTCAAATTTGAAGTTTAATATTTTCAGGATTTTTTTTACCATTTTTACTTCCCGAGCGTAAGCTAAGGAAGTATAGTCGTCTGTCCGTCCGTCCGTCTGTCTGTCTGTCTGTCTGTCCGTCTGTATGTCTGTTTGTCGTCCCCGGATTTTTTTTTAATTTTATAAAAACGAAATGCAAATGCTCTGAAATTTTGCAAACGTAATTTTTTCGAAAAGTATGGATTTATTTACCTTAAGACGAATTCTTTTGATATCACAATTTTTTATTCTTTCACTTTTTCAACTTTAATTTTTTCAGTTTGTCAATTTCTCGACTTCCAAATTTTTCAGTCTTTCGTTTCTTCAATTTTCTGAAATTACGATTTTTTACAATTTTTCATTTTGCGATTTTTCAGTTTCTCAATTTTTATTTTTCATTTTCCCGATTTTTTTTCACTTCCATTTTCTCGGATTTATATCACAGTTTTCATTTTTAAATGTTTCTTTCGATTTTATGATTTTTCGATTTTTCACATTTTTAATCTGACTCTTCAGTTTATCGATTTTCCAATTTTAAAATTTTTCAATACTGCAATTTTGGGATTTTCAATTATCCAAAGAAAGTTAAAATTGAAAAATCGAGAAATCTAAAATGGAAAAGACGAAAAATTAAAAATCAAAAATTTGAAAATACGAAAAATTGAAATCCGAACAATTCAAAATCAAAAAATTCAAAAATTTCGCATTGAAAGAAAGAAAAATTATAAAATCAGAACATTGAAATGCCGAAAAGTTGAAAAAAAAAAAACGAAAAACGGAAGACATGAAAAATTGATAAATCGAAAAATTGCAAAATCTAAGAAGTGAAACGTCCAGAATTTGGAAAATCGGAAAATTGAAAAATGTTTAAATGAAAACTCGAAGAGCTGCATATCGTAAAATTGAAGAAACTAAAAAAATAAAAATTGCAAATCGAAAAACTGAAGAAACAAAAAGTTGAAAAACTTGAAATTCAACAAAGAAAAAATTATAAAATCGGAATATCGAAATATTGAAAAAAAATTAAAATGAAATAAAATTCTAAAATTCTCAATTAACAAAACTGAATGTTTAAAAAATTCTTACATATTTAAAATGTTTCGGTTTTTCATTTTCCTTATTTTTTCAATTTTTCGCTTTTTTTCAACCTAAAATTTTTCAATTTTTAGTTTCTTCAATTTTTGATTTGCAATTTTACTAGTTTTAATTTTAAATATGTAACAATAATTGTAATTTTTAAAATTATTCACTTTTTCAATTTCACGGTTTCAGAATTTTTCCATTTTTCAAACATTGGATTTTAAAACTTCGATTTTTAATTTTTGAGACGAAGGACCCAGTATCAAAGATGAATAATCAAGGATGAAAGATCAAGGATGAAGGATCAAAGATTAAGGATGAAGGATCAAGAAGGAAGCGTCAAGGATAAAGGATCAAGGATAAAGGATCAAAGATAAAGGATCAAGGATAAAGGATCAAGGATAAAGGATCAAGGATAAAGGATCAAGGATAAAGGATCAAGGATAAAGGATCAAGGATAAAGGATCAAAGATAAAGGATCAAGGATAAAGGATCAAGGATAAAGGATCAAGGATAAAGGATCAAGGATAAAGGATCAAGGATAAAGGATCAAGGATAAAGGATCGAGGATAAAGGATCGAGGATAAAGGATCGAGGATAAAGGATCGAGGATAAAGGATCGAGGATAAAGGATCGAGGATAAAGGATCGAGGATAAAGGATCGAGGATAAAGGATCGAGGATAAAGGATCGAGGATAAAGGATCGAGGATAAAGGATCGAGGATAAAGGATCGAGGATAAAGGATCGAGGATAAAGGATCGAGGATAAAGGATCGAGGATAAAGGATCGAGGATCGAGGATAAAGGATCGAGGATAAAGGATCGAGGATAAAGGATCGAGGATAAAGGATGAAGGATAAAGGATGAAGGATAAAGGATCAAGGATAAAGGATCAAGGATAAAGGATCAAGGATAAAGGATCAAGGATAAAGGATCAAGGATAAAGGATCAAGGATAAAGGATAAAAAATTTGCGATTTTTATTTTTAATTTTAGTTTTAGAATTTTTCCATTTTTCAAATATGTATTGGGTTTTAAAACTTTTTCATTTTTTCAATTTTTAATCAATCATGAAGGATCAAGGATGAAGGATCAAGGAGGAAGGCTAAAGGATGAAAGATCAAGGAGGAAGGCTAAAGGATCAAGGGACATAGATCAAGAATCAAGGAGTCCAGAACTCGGGATTCGAGTCTTGGGCCCCAAATTAAGTTTTAGGAACTCGGTATTAGGAGTCAAAATTCAGAGTTTATGATTTCGAACTCGATTTTCAAATTTGGAATTGGGAATTTAGAATCTGGGGTTCGGGATTTCGAGACTCGTGTTCAAGATTCAGATCCAAAAGTCAGGCATTAAGAAGTGGGCATTAACGATTAAGGATCAAGGATGAAGGATTAAGAATCAAGGATAACGAATCAAGGCTAAAGGATCAAGGATGAAGGATCAAGGATGAAGGATCAAGGATGAAGGATCAAGGATGAAGGATCAAGGATGAAGGATCAAGGATGAAGGATCAAGGATGAAGGATCAAGGATGAAGGATCAAGGATGAAGGATCAAGGATGAAGGATCAAGGATGAAGGATGAAGGATCAAGGATGAAGGATCAAGGATGAAGGATCAAGGATGAAGGATCAAGGATGAAGGATCAAGGATGAAGGATCAAGGATGAAGGATCAAGGATTAAGGATGAAGGATCAAGGAAGAAGGATCAAGAATCATGTATGAGATATCAGCCAAAAATCAAATCAGAGTTTATGATTTCGAACTGGATTTTCAAATCCAGGATTGGTAATTTAGAATTTTGGGGTTCGGAATTTCGAATTAGTGTTTTGGAATTCGAGACTCGCATTCAAGATTCGGATCCAAGAGTCAGGACTTGGCATTAAGAAGTGGGCATTAACAATTAAGGATCAAGGATGAAAGAACAAGGATGAAGCATGAAAGATCAAGGATGAAGGATCAATAATGAAGCGTCAAGGATAAAAGATCAAGGATCAAGGATAAAGGATCAAGGATCAAGGATCAAGGATAAAGGATCAAGGATCAAGGATAAAGGATCAAGGATAAAGGATCAAGGATAAAGGATCAAGGATAAGGATCAAGGATAAAGGATCAAGGATAAAGGATCAAGGATAAACGATCAAGGATAAACAATCAAGGATAAAGGATCAAGGATAAAGGATCAAGGATAAAGAATAAAAAATTTTCGATTTTTAAGCTTCTCGATTTTTATTTTTAATTTTACAGTTTTAGAATTTTTCCATTTTTCAAATATGTATTGGATTTTAAAACTTTTTCATTTTTTCAATTTTTAATCAATGATCAAGGGTCAAGGATGAAGGATCAAGGAGGAAGCCTAAAGGATCAAGGATGAAGGGTCAGGATTAAGGATCAAGTATGAAGGATCAAAGGTGAACGATCAAGGAAGAAGGTTCAAAGATGAAGGTTCAAGGATGAAGGTTCAAGGATCAAGGATCGAGGATCAAGGCTGAAGGATGAAGGATCATATATGACATATAAGTCAAAAATCAGATCAGAGTTTGATTTCGAACTGGATTTTCGAATTTGGGATTGGGAATTTAGAATTTGGAATTCGAGACTCGCATTCAAAATTCGGATCCAAGAGTCAGGCATTAAAAAGTGGGCATTAACGATCAAGGATCAAGTATCAAAGATGAAGGATGAAAGATTAAAGATATGAAAGATGAAGGATCAAGGATGAAGGATGAAAGATGAAGGATCAAGGTTCAAGGATCAAGGATCAAGGCTAAAGGATCAAGGTTGAAGGATCCAGGATCAAGGATTTTAATTTTACCATTTTAGAATTTTAAACTTTCGCATTTTTTCGATTTTTAATCAAAGATAAAGGATCAAGGATGAAGGATCAAGAATGAAGGTTCAAGGATTTTAATTTTACCGTTTTAGAATTTTTCCATTTTTCAAATATTGGATTTAAAAATTTTTTCATTTTTTCGATTTTTAATCAAGGATCAAGGATGAAGGATGAAGGTTAAAGCATGAAAGATTGAGGATCAAGAATGAAGGATCAAGGATGAAGGATCAAGTATCAAAGATGAAGGATGAAATATTAAAGATGAAAGATGAAGGATCAATGATGAAGGATGAAAGTTGAAGGATCAAGGAGTTTAATTTTACCATTTTAGAATTTTAAAACTTTCTCATTTTTTCGTTTTTTAATCAAAGATAAAGGATCAAGGATGAAGGATCAAAAATGAAGCTTCAAGGATTTTAATTTTACCGCTTTAGAATTTTTCCATTTTTCAAATATTGGATTTAAAAAATTTTTCTTTTTTTCGATTTTTAATCAAGGATCAAAGATGAAGTATCGAGGATGAAGGGTTAAGGATAAAGGATCAAGGATCAAGGATGAAAGACTGAGGATCAAGAATGAAGGATCAAGGATGAAGTATGAAGGATCAAGGATGAAGAATCAAGGATCAAAGATGAAGGATCAAGGATGCAGGATCAAGGATGAAAGATAAAGGATGAAAGATCGAGGATCAAGAATGAAGGATCAAGGATGAAGGATCAAGGATGAAGGACCAAGTATGAAGGATCAAGGATGAAGGTTCAAGGATCAAAGATGAAGGATCATGTATGAGATATCAGTCAAAATTCTGAGTTCATGATTTTGAACAGGATTTTTTGGAATTTCGAATCTATGTTTCGGAATTCGAGACTTGCATTCAAGATTTGGATCCAAGAGCGAGGACTTGGCATTAAGAAGTGGGCAATAACCATAAGGATCAAGGATGAAAGATGAAAGATCAAGGATGAAGGATGAAAGTTCAAGGATGAAGCATAAAGGATGAAGGATCAAGGATGGAAGATAAAAGATGAAGGTTCAAGGATGAAGGATCAAGAATCAAGGATGAAGAAGCAAGGATGAAGAAGCAAGGATGAAGAAGGAAGGATGAAGAAGCAATGAAAGATCAAAGATGAAAGATGAAGTATCATATATGAGATATCAAAATGAATCAGATACCAGAAAACAATTATCAAGGACCAATTACTGAGGACCAACAATTAAGTGCCAGGACCAAGGACCACAGATCGATCAAGAAGGAAAGATTAAGGATCCTGATGCAACCTCCAGGACTAGGGACTCGAGCATGTTTGATGTTCTAACACTCAGGACTTGCGATTTTGAATTGGATATTCGAAAATTTGTAAAAAAAAGTTAGAAAACCGAAAAACTGAAAAACAAAAAAATGAGAAATTGAAAAAAATGGAAATCGAAAACTGAAAATAAAAAAACAAAAAATTATAAAATCGAAAGGAAAAGTTGCAAAATTGAAAAATGCAAAAGCTGGGAAATTGAAAAACTGAAAAATTTAAAATCGAACTCCCAAAAAAATGCAAATCGAAAAAATGAAAAAACAAAAAATGAAACATTGAACAACTGAGTTCAACTCAAAAAAGCTGCCGAAATAACTTTGGATCAATTTTTCTCAAGTCCTTTAGAGCATTCTTGACAACGTACCAACGAGCTCATACGTCATTTTTTCATTATCTTGTATTTTTATTTTTTATAACTATGTATTTATTATACAGGGTGTCTCGGAAATTTATTGAACAACTTTTATTTTACGACAGATGTTCAAAAATATTTACTCCACGCTACTGCTTTATCGAAATGGAGAAAAATTTATTCTATATTCCACACACGCAAACATTCGTGCGCGAGGCGTAGCCGAGCGTTAGCCATATAATTTTTAACAAACTATGTAGTTATAAAAAAAAAACAAAATTAAATAAATAAACAAAAAACAAACCACTTACCGTACACAGAAGCACCCCCCTCTTCGCCCCCCTGAACCGCATAAACACCTCCTTCCGCATACTCTGCTCCATCGACCCGTGCAACTTAAAAAACTCCGTCTCCAACACCACTTCTTCTTCATCATCACTATCCTCAAACTCCACATCTTCCAAAATCGCCACATCCCCGATCTTCAACTTCCCCCTATTCTTCGGCATACGTGCCAAACACCTCGTGAACAACTCGTAATGGTAATCGACCATTTGACTCGTCGCCATGAACACAAACACCTTATGTTTAGCTTTAGCCAATAAAACCGCCGACAACGTAAACAGTCTGTGCTTGGCGTAAGTCACTATGAACTCTTGCGTGACGGTGTTGGGAATCACCAAGTGTTCTGGATTAACGTTAGGGGAGTCGTCCAAACTGTCAACATACACGTGCTCCTTCATGGTGAAGTCGGCCAATTCGGCGATCCCTTTGTTCAAAGTAGCCGACAATAAAACCGTCTGGCGATTTCTGCTAGAAACGTCTCGCAAAGGAGCCCCAGAAGCTTCCTGACGCTCTGGAAGTTTCCTGTCGCCTCTTAGCATCGCCAGAGGGTTGTACTCCGAGTTCGTTTTCGCGCTGTCTAACTCCTCCACGATTTTGACTATATCTTTTTTGAAACCCATGTCTAGGAGACGGTCGGCTTCGTCTAGAACTAGACATCTGACTTGGTCGGTTTTGAGGGCTGATGTGTGTAGGATGTGGTCTAGTAATCTACCGGGTGTTCCGATAAGAACGTGGACGCCTTTTCGTAGCCTGTCTTTCTCGGTTTTGCGATTTTCACCCCCACACAGGTGTCCCACAACTAGCCACTGGAAAGTCTGGAAGTGGTTGGGTTAGGGTTGTGGATGGTCTGTGTAAGGCGTTACTTACGTTGATTTTTCCGAAAAGCTCGTGCGTCTGGAGGGCCAGTTCTCGCGTTGGTACAACCACGATGGCTTGCACGCCGTCTTGGCGCTGAAGGCGGGGGATGATACTTTGGAGGGCGTCGATTATGGGGACGGCGTAGGCGAGGGTTTTGCCGGAACCGGTCTGAGAACGTATCTAATAAAAGAATCGGGAATAAAAATTCAGACAGACGGCAGACAGACAGACAGACGGAAACCAATTTACGATTTTACTTACGAGCACATTTTTCCCCGCCACCACCTCCGGAATCGACTTTTCCTGCACTTTCGTTAAACTAGTAAAACCATTTTTTACCAAATTGGCCACCACGTGTCTATGAATCTCCAAATCACTGAACTTCTTTTCGGCACTGAACACTTTCTCCACCACAGACTTCCCCGAAATTTTCGTATTCACATACACATCCTTCTTTCTCACAGAAAATAGCGAATGTGTAGTCTCCGAAGCCTTATTATCCACAGCTTTAGGTAAGCTCACACTCTCCCCAGACTCACTCTCTTTCAAAGCCTTCGCTGCCAATTTATCCTTCTTGTGCTTGCGTTTCACCAACTGGCCTGAACTGTCCGAAATTGAAGACTGTGGCTTTTGGGTAGTTTGACGTGTACGTGTGACACCTTTTGGGGCTGCATTTGGCTTCGGAGATGTGGTTTCCTGTTGTTTTGGTTTCGGTGACTTCTTGGTGGATGTTTTTTTACGAGCGAAAGCCGTCCCTGTGGGCTTGGAAGCTTTGTTCCACGAAAAGTCGAACGAGGTCATGGTTAAAATTTATAAACAATCCAGTGAATTATTTGTTGTATGGTTGCAACAAAAAGTGTGGTTATATTAAATAACACGTGTTAAATGTCTCATTTGGGGCACGGGTGAAGGTTATATTGCACTTTCACTACAATTTATTTAACTTTTATTAACGTTTGTTTGGCCACGAAGAAACTTAGGTTAGAAAATCTCACGTGTTGTAAATGTCAAACTCCAGTTTGTGTTCCCATTAGTTCGAAAGCTCATTACCCATTATGACAAACAACACGAAAATAATAATAATTAATATGTATTGTTATTATTATTAGTATTAGTAGTAGTGATTATGTGGTTTCAAACACGAAAACGACTTCAACTCTTCTTTAAGCTTTTTACCATTATCACCATTAAAGGGCGACTTAACTATATCAATCACCCCGAGTGCCAACTTGACAAGGAACCGTTCCAATTCAACCCAGCAAAATCTACCACGATTGCCCCTAATGGACCGCTAATGCTCCGCTAATTCCCGCAATCCTATTCACCCGAAACACACAAACGTGGCCGATGAATTTTCCCTTAGAGTAGATGAAAATGACCATCGATTTGAAGATATTTAACAGGGCACGTGCGGCCACTCTTGCGGATTATCGAGACATTTAATGGAAAAGAACATCCAGAAGCGTGGATAATTTTACTTGATATGGGGCGATTCTATAATGCTGATAGATTGCCGGGATAAATGGACTGGAAATTGTGGAGTATTTAATTTATGATTTAACTTAGTTTGACCATGAAGTCATGTATAATGCAAAGAATAAAGTTTCAATGGTAGTGGGTTATTTTCGGTAAATCCTGTAACTGATCATAGGGTGGTGGTATTGTAATTTCATGTTTTTTCGACGTTCCGTAAGTCTTGGAATATGAATTGATCTTTTTATTGCTCTAAAAGTACTGATTTAACACTTCTGAAATTTTAGATACGTTTTAATGGTAGGTATTATGCACATGTAAAATCCCAACCATAATTTGTCTGATCGTTACCACCAAAAAATTCATGACGTCATTTTATTTTTCAACTACCTTTGAAAATTAGCCAAAGACATTTTTTTGTAGAATTCAAATTCTAGAAGTTATTTTAAGCTGCATTTATTCGAAAATTCCTACCATTTTTCCAGAATCGCCAATTGAAATATGTCAATTTTTAGGATTATTAATTTTTTTTTCAAGCTGCATATTTCAAAAAGTTTGCTCTGGAACAACAAAATCTTTATATTTTTCGAATTACGTTGAAAATTACATCTCAGGATTTTTTCTTTATTTTTTAGCAACTTTTCCAACAACTCAATTTTTCAATGCAAATTTTTGAGTTTTTTCAAGCACCCTCCGAAATTGGCTAAAAATAACAATCACAGATTGTAATATTTGTACATTTCAAACACCAGAAGTTATTTTCCACTAAATGTCTTTGAAAATTATTGCCATTTTTCCAGAATCGCCCATTGAAATGTTGGAAATTGCTAAGATAAAACTGATCTTGCCAAGTGGCATACCCTCGAAGAATAGAGGATCGGTGGGCGGGGCCAATATTTGCCAAGATAAGATTTTTATAAAAAAGTTCTACCCTTCATTTTCTTATAAGATAAGGTATGTCATTTGCCAAAACCAGTTTTATCCTGGTAGGTACTAGCCCCGCCCACCCACCCCCTCTTTTCTTAGAGGGTATATCATTTGCCAAAATCAGCCTTACCTTAGCAAGTACTAACCCCGCCCACCCACCCTCTCTTTTCTTAGAAGGTATCGTATTAGGCAAAATCAGTCTTATCTTAGAAGTAAGCAATTGAAATGTTGGAAATTTTGGAACTTTTTAAAAAATTGGACGTTCCAGCCGGATATTTTAAACATTGTGGTCCAGGACCCTAAAAACGCTAATATTTTTTAAATCAAGACGTTGGGATCTACATCCCAGAAACTTTTGTGGATTTTTCCACCATTTTTCCAAAAGCTCAATTTTTCAATACCAATTTTTGACCATTTTTGTAGAATTCAAATGCTAAAAGTTATCTTAAGCTGCATTTCTTCCAAAATTTTGGTTCATCAATTTTTCAATTTGATGAATTTTCAATTTTTAATTTTTCAATTTTTCTTTCATTTCTTCAGTTTTCGATTTGGAATTTTTCGTTTCGATTTTTATTTCCTTTATTTTTTAATTTTTCATTTTTCCGATCCTCTAATTTTATAATTTTTGTTTTTTCATTTTCACTATTTTCAATTTTTCGATTTCCGATTTTGTAAATTTTCATTTTTTATGTTTCTCCAATTTTTAAATTTGCACTTTTTCCATTTAAAATTTCTCAAATTTTTTATTTTCAATTTTTCAAATTTGTCAGTTTTTCATTCCTTCAAATTTTCGATTTGCAATTTTCGCTTCGATTTTTTATTTTCTTTAATTTTTTTCATTTGCAATATTCTTCGTTTTTTTGTTTCTTCAAATTTACCTACGATAACCAACTCCTCAAGTTTTTGTTTTTTAAATCTTCAGTTTTTCAATTTTTCAATGTTTCATTTATTCATTTTCGGATTTGCAAGTTTTTGTTTAATTTTTTTACTGTTTCTTTATTTTAGAAACTTTTCAATTTTCCAATGTTCTGATTTTGTTCTTGTTTCCAATGTGAAATTTTTCAATCTTTAGACTTTATAATTTTTCGTTTTTTCAATTTTAGATTTTTCAGTTTCTGGATTTTTGAATTTTTCGTTTCTTTAAATTTTAATTTGCAATTAATCTAGTTTTCATTCTAAATATGTATGTAATAAGAATACGAATTTTTAAGATTTTTCACTTTTTCAATTTTACGGTTTTAGAATTTTTCATTTTTTCGTTTCTTCAATTTTTCGATTTACAATTTTTCAATTTTTCATTTTTTTGTTTATTCAAATTTACGATAATCAACTCCTCGAGTTTCCATTTTTTAATTTTTCAGCTTTTCAATTTTCCAATTTTTGGATTTACATTTTCACGAGTTTAAAATGTTTCTTTCATTTCTTCAGTTTTCAATTTGGAATTTTTCGTTTCGATTTTTATTTCTTTATTTTTTTAATTTTTCATTTTTCAGATTCTCTAATTTTATAATTTTTGTTTTTTCATGTTCACTATTTTCAATTTTTCGATTTCCGATTTTTAAAATTTTCAATTTTATGTTTCTCCAATTTTTAAATTTGCACTTTTTCTATTTAAAATTTCTCAAGTTTTCATTCCTTCAAATTTTCGATTTGCAATTATCGTTTCGATTTTTTATTTTCATTATTTTTACAATGTTTCGATTTTTCAATATTCTGATTTTATAATTTTTAATTTTTTTCATTTTTAATATTCTTCGTTTTTTTTTGTTTCTTCAAATTTATCTACGATAATCAATTCAAGTTTTTATTTTTTAATTTTTCAGTTTTTCGATGTTCCAATTTTTTTTAATTGCATTTTCACGAGTTTTCAGTTTTCCGATTTTTCAATTATTCATTTGTTCATTTTTGGATTTGCAAGTTTTTGTTTGAGTTTTTTATTTTTTCTTTATTTTAGAAATTTTTCAATTTTCCAATGTTCTGATTCTTTATTTTTTCCTGTTTCCAATGTGAAATTTTTCAATCTTTAGATTTTTTGATTTTTCGTTTTTTCAATTTTGGATTTTCAGTTTCTGGATTTTTGAATTTTTCGTTTCTTTAAATTTTGATTTACAATTTCATTAGTTTTCATTGTAAATATGTATGTAATAAGAACACGAATTTTAAAAATTTTTCACTTTTTCGATTTTACGGTTTTAGAATTTTTCATTTTTTTGTTTCTTAAAATTTACGATAATCAACTCCCCGAGTTTCCATTTTTTAAAATCTAAAAATCTAAAAGTTAAAAAATCAAGAAATCGGAAAGTTGAAATATCGAAAAATCGAGAAATCGAAGAATTGAATAATCGAGAATCGAAAAATCTAAAGTTAAAAAGACTGACAAAATACCAAAAAATTGAATAAGTAAAAAACCAAAAACTCGCAACGAAATAACAAAAAATTAGAGAATGAAATATTAGATAATTTCAAACCTGAAATATCGAAAAATCGAAAAGTCAAGAAACGGAGAATTCGGAAAATCAAAACATCGATAATCTAAAAGTCGAAAACCCACAAATCGAAAATTGATAATTTAGAGACCCCAAAAATTGAAAAATCGTAAAACTGAAATATCGGAAAATTGAGAAATCGGAAAATAAAAATCGACAAATCGAAAATTTCTAAACTGAAATATCGAAAACTTGATGAACCAAAAAAATTTACAAATAAAAGAAAAACTGAAAAATGGAAAAATTGGAAAATCCTAAAACTGAAACATTTAAGAACGCCAAAAATTGAAAAATAGGAAAATCAAAGAACTAAAAAATCGAGAATCGAAAAATTTAAAGTACCAAAAAATTGGAAAATCGAAAAGTCTAAAATTTTAAAAATCTAAGAATTGAAGAATGAAATATTAAACAATCCCAAGATAATCTGTAAGTCGAAAAATTGATATATCGAAAAGTTGAAAATTTAGAGACCCCTAAAATTGAAAAATTAAAAAATCCTAAAACAGAAATATCGGAAATTAGTGAAATCGAGAAATAAAAATAATCAACACGTCGAAAATTTGAAAAGTGCAGAAATTGAAGAAGCGAAAAATAGAAACAGCGAAGAAATGGAATCGGAAAATTGAAAAATTCGACAAATCAAAAAATTAAAAAATCACATGAATGGGCAAATTTTGATTAACGATTTACTTTGCTTACGATAACCTTAACTTTTGCAGTTTCAAGTTAAATTGAAAAATGTTATACAATCTTGATTTTTTTGCCAAAAAAGGGTAAAAACTCAAAACGGATTAATAAACCACAAGTGCAAGAGCATTTTATTTTATAAAATTTAAATAATATTTAGTAGTGTAGATTTTGGGGACGACATTGCTGATAGCCAAATTTTACTTGGCGTTTTACCATCTACACATATGTATAAGATTTGATAACAATCGGTCTAGTAGTTTCAGAGATTATTTCTCCAACAGACAGACATACGTACCAATTTTTGTGTACTCTAAAGTTCACGAAACGTCGGAAAAACATTAAAGCAACCAGTCACCTTAAACTCAGGAAGTAAAAACGCCACTAAGACATTTATTTCAATATTATATGTACGAATGAAGCAGTT